GGCTGCCCGGGAGAGAGAGCAGAGCTCGCCCACGTTGTCCCCCCCACCAATGCCAGAGCCACAGGGTTCAGCTGCCCGGCGGGTGTCCCCCCCCCATGGGGACCGTGGCTTCCTCCACTTCCCCTTCACCAGGACCACCCCCTCCCCCCTCTTCTCCCTCCAGAACCCGAGCGTCTCCACACAGCACCCTTGGTCCTTGCTTGTTCTGGACCATAATGGCGGAAACACAAATGCCTGCCGGTTCCCACAGAGGGGTGGCCCCGCAAACGTGAGCATCAGCAGATCAGACCAGGCTTTCGTCATCATCATCCTCGGGGAGGAAGGAGAGGAGATGCCCAGAGATTCAGATCCGCAACATCAAAGCCGCTTTCCTTAAGGAAGGCTGTCACGTTTTGTTTAATGGCTCCAGTACAGTGTGTGGTGGAAAGCCACAGAAACAGAAATCAATGCGCTGAGAGGAGGTCTTCCCTGGGCGGTCACCGGCCTCCGTGACCACTCAACGTGACACGGAAACGAGGACGTGGGCGCGGCTAGCTCACTGCGCGCTGGAGTGCAGGGGAGACGCAGCCCGACCGACCGAAACCCCGACCCTCAGCCCCTGGCCGCCGCTGACACCCTGGCTGCTGAGCTCGGCTCCACACAGCTGGCCACCCTGGTCCGCAGGGCACGGGAGAGCAAGGAAGCCCAGAGCCCGCAGGCAGGCCCCGGGGTTGGACCCAGCTCCCCCTGTCCCCCCAGCCCTCGCTCTCCTCTCACCCTGCGGTGCCTGGCAGACAGCGGGGCTGGACAAAGGGCCCGGAGCCTCGACGATGGACAGGCGTGTGTCCCCCGTGGGGGAGACGGCTGGTGTCTCTTGGTCCCGCAGTGTCTGCTCCTCGCTTGGCTGTTTGCTTTGAGACAACGAGGAGCCGTCTCCCACTGTGTTCAGTGACTTCCCAGAGCAGATCCACACGGAGCCATGAAACAGGCCCAGTGTGGGCATTCCATTTACAGAGTTTGAACTCGGGGCCTGGGCGCTGTCCCTGAGCTCTTCAGCTCAAGGCGAGCGCTCTACCACTTGAGTCACAGCGCCACTTCCGGTGTTCTGGTGGTTCATTGGAGATAGGAGTCTCATGGGCTTTCCCGCCTGCAATGGCTTTTAATCGCACAGCCCCTTGAGCACAGAGGACTGCATCAAGATGTCACTCCGTGGAGGTAGCCAGGAAGGGCAGCAGCCATTGGTCAGTGGACATGGGAGAAGGAGGCGGCCAGCTGGTGGCCGAGGTCAGCGTGCCGGGGACCCTGCTGATGGCCAGCGGGCGCTGGCTGAGTAGACGGCCGGGGTGGAGCCTGTCCGGGGGTCAGGGCCCTGTGAGATTGCTGGCTGGACTGCCTTCCACCCCAGGACCCAGTGAACAGATGGTCACCTGGGCCTGGAACCTGACCACCGTGTGGGGTCCCAGCTTCCAGAAGAAGGAGAGGGAAACTCCGTTCTTTCTGTCTCCTGGTCCCGGGTACAGGGCCGATGACCGGCCCCTCACCTAGCTCGTGACATGACAGAACCCCAAAGGCCTGCGGGGCACGCAGCTGTCCCTGGGGGTCCCCGTCCCTCACCCTCAGCCCTCGCAGAGCCGCGATGGACAGGTCACCAGGGACCTCCCCGCTGGGCCTCCCCTTCCAACTCCCGAGGGAGAGGCGTCTTCCAGACCCGGAAAAAAATGGCGCAGTTGGATGTGTCTGTGCAAGTGAGGAGAGCCGAACCTCCGGCCTCGGCTCCCTGAACCCCCGGGGCCTCTGCACCCCATTTCCATGGTGGCTGTCCTGATATCAAGTGCTGATCACGCTCAGAAGAGAGCAAGGCCAAGCCTCATCCCCACCTTTGACCGGCCCGGCAGGAGAGAGCTCCCTTCCGAGACCCACAGTCCTGGCTCCTACGGTCACCCGTAGGCTCCGAGAGGGATGATTTCCACGCGTTAGGCCGGTGTTTTGAGGTTCGCTCTGTTTCGAAGACGAAAGCTCTGCACACAGACACGTCTACTTCTCCATTTTTGCTCCTGGACGGGCAGGCGCTGGCTCCCAGGGGCGCCGAGGGATGCCTGGTGGAAGGGAAGGCCCACCCAGCTGGCTCCGCTCCCCGACAGCGCGTGCTCCAGGCCCCTGGCTTTGCTCTCGGCCGCAGGCTGGAGGCCTCACTTCATCGAGCGGGCTGGCTGATTCCACACTCACCCCTGCTTCAGCCCCAAATAAAGAGGGACCAGGAAACCTAGGGAGGATGGGGCTCCCCATACGAGAGGAGGACAGGGCCACAGGCCAGGGAGTCGCACAGTGCTAGAGAGCAGTCCGTGGTCTCCGAGGCCAGGATCTGTGTGGAGAGAAGCCCGTGGCAGAGACAGTAAGGGTGAGGCCTCAGGCAGAGGAGCCCTCAGCCCCGGACCAGGGTCCAGAGGGGCACAGTGCAAGCGCAGAGCACGGGCCACCCCGTTTCACACGGGCAAGCACAGCAGACACAGACCTGGGCTCTGTTGAGGACAAGTGCGGAGCCTAGAGAATGCAAGGCTGAAAGTCTTCAAAAACCGTCCTCCCCAGCTGGGGGTGGGAGGGTGGGGGTGTCTACTGGCCCCGGATGGGAATGGCAGTGAGAACCGCAGGCAGGCTGTTTGAAGCCGATGGAGGCTGTGCTGGTGGAGGCTTGTTAATGGAGTCTGTGCTGACAGAGGCTTGCTAGTGGAGGCTGGGCTGGTGGAGGCTTGTTAATGGAGTCTGTGCTGACAGAGGCTTGCTGGTGGAATCTGTGCTGACAGAGGCTTGCTGGTGGAGGCTGTGCTGACAGAGGCTTGCTGGTGGAATCTGTGCTGACAGAGGCTTGCTGGTGGAGGCTGTGCTGACAGAGGCTTGCTGGTGGAGGCTGTGCTGACAGAGGCTTGCTAGTGGAGGTTGGGCTGGTGGAGGCTTGCTGACAGAGGCTGCACTGGTGGCCCTGGGCAGTCCTGACTCCTCCCCCCCCCCCCCCGCCACGTGTAGCCCGAGAGCTGCTTGCCCATCCGGGACTCTCTCCCTTCCCCTGTAAGATGGCGCAGGAATCCCCATCCTGAGGTCTGTACTCTCCCAGGCCATCCATTCAATGCAGAAGGTTAGTGCTTTGTCTTTTGGTGTAAACGTGAGTGTTTTTACATGTGTGCATGTGTTGTATAGTTTTAGTATTCATTCCAACACCAGTGAAAATTCACATGAATTTTTAATACAAAACATGGCTTTGGAAAGTGTTTTCCCGCCGGGCAGTCCTTCCGGGCCGAGCCCCCAGGTGCTCAAGTCCTGGAGCCCGGATGCACCTGCAGCCCAAAGCTGCTGGGGAGCTGGGGCAGGGGCAGGGGGCCCGGGCCGGGTCCCGGGGGAGCTGGGCGCGGCAGGGCGTGGGCCTGGTCTGCGGCAGAGGGGCCCAAAGCTCCCATCCAAGGCAGGAGAGACACAAATAGAAGGGGGTTCACGGGTCTCCTGAGCAGCTCACAAGTGCTGAGTCTTCCCATTCCCTGCACGGTGGGGCCAGGGTGGCACAGGCCATGGGAGGGGGCTTCCTTCTCTGCCATGAACGTGCAGCATGGGAAGTGGTTTCATACACACACACACACACACACACACACACACACACACACACACACACACACTGCTGCCATCTCAAGCCCTCAAAGGCTCTAGAAAGTTCCTCCCTGGTCCCAGGCAGGGTAGGTGCTCTGCCCAGAGGGGTGTCTTCCCAGCACCAGGACAGATGAAGCCGGGCACACAGAGGGCTGTGAGCGGATATGGGGGTGGGGGGAGGGGAGGTCTGGGAGGACACCAGCCCCTTCCTCCCGCCCTCCTGAGCCCTGGCCAGGGTGCCCCTCTCCCTCCTGCCCTGAAGGACCCCCATTGCCGTCTGTCCTCCTGGACAGCAGCAGAAGGCGAGGAGGGACAGACACAGTGCACGACGACAACCCGCTTCAGAAAGCAAGATGGTACTCCCTGAAAGATGGTGCTCCCTGAAAGATGGTGCTCCCTGAAGCGGAAGCCAGCCAGCGTCGCTGTCCTTCTGTCTGCTCTCCCATCCCTCCGCCACCGGACCTGCGTCTGTCCACAGCACGGCGGGGATCTCCTCTTTAAACTACTCAGCCATTCCCGGGCTCAGGATGAGATCTCAGGACTGTGTTGAACCAGTCCTGCCAGCCAGGGCAGAAAAATCCTCGAGACTCTTATTTCCAACTCACCAACCAAAAACCAGAAGTTAAAAAAAAAAGTTGTGGGTCAAGTGGAAGAGCACCCCAGCCTCCAGCACACACACACACACACACACACACACACACACACACACACACACACACACACACACACCAAGAAAGAACACAAGGTCCTGAGTTCAAGCCCAGAAAAACAACACAACACATCAGCCTCTGGAGAGCTCTGCGGACCGGGGCCGGCCTTGCGCTGAGCACAGCACGGGGTTGAGCTCACGCCCTGCCCTGCATGTCAGTGACCTACACCCCAACTTCCTACAAGCAAACCGAGGCCTGGCACAGAGGGTCAGGACCCGTCTGGCACAGCGCATCCTGACCTCGCTCCCGGGACCCCAGGTAGGGCAGGAGGCAGACACACACGGGCAGGAGACTCCCTGTTTCAGAACTAGCATGCTGGGCAAAGCCAGAATGCTCACCTCACGCCACGAGACCGCACACAGAGCTCAGATGAGGAGCGAACGCCGCCAGACGGACAAGACTGAAGAACCAAGGGGCAGCCCCTCCTCGGCCCCCCTCAGGCGCCTGGCCTGATGGATGCTGCCTCCAGCGGGGGAAGATACACGGGCCCGGCCAGTAGGTGGGCCATCCCTCGGAGGCCAGAACCCACTCATCAAGATGGACACGACAGCAAGGCTGTGGGGGAGGTAGACGCCTCACCTTCGTGGGGACCGCTGTCCCGAAGCCGGACAGGAGACGGTGCAGGAGGGCTACAGAGAGCCGGGACCCCGGGCCCGGCCGCCCCAGGCAGGCGCTTACCTTGCGCTTGTTGCTCGGGCAGATGTAGAAGTTGTCGATGACCGTGGTGACGCCGGGCTGGAGGGTGAGCTTGGTGTAGGACGTCCCAAAGTCCGAGGACCTGGGGAAGCAGAGGCAGGGCTGTCAGCGGCGCCCTTGGGGGCCGGGCGTGCCGGCCGGCATCCTCACACCTCCCCCCCCCCCCGCCCCCGGGAGCAGAGCTGGGGCTCCGGGGACAGGGCTCACTCCAGGCCGGAGCGAGGCTTCGTGGGCATGCAGGCCTCTGACTCCTCAAGACGTCTGCCATCTACAGGAACATCTAAGTCACCCTGCCTCTCCCATGCTTTGCAAGCTGCTGGTGGACAGCGTCCCTCTGTCCATCTCACAGATGACTGGAAGGTGGTCCGGGGGGACAAGTGTCCTGCCTGAGATCACCCCGATACGCAGCGGGAAGGATCCAAACGCTATGTGAGGCCAGGCTTGGTTCTAATTGGTGTCAGGCATTCCTGGACGATTGCCCTCAATGGTCCCAGGACACCTCTCCGGACCGGCGCCACCTCCTAGAAGCCAGGACTATCAGAGAGGCGTGCGCCCACCCGACGGGAGGCCCAGGCGGGACCCCCGGAAACGGGTCACGGCGGGACCCCAGGGCCAGCGGCTCCAGCCGCGTCTCCTCCCACAGGGACCCCTCCTCACCTGTCACGGGGGGGGGGACATGGGGGGGCATCCGCCATGGGAGGGGCATCAGCGCTCATGCTTGGGAGACGCTGACTCGTCAGGTCAGGTCCTGGGTTCCCCGCTAACGCCTGAGCAGGCTGTGACCTGAACTTGGGCTCTCATGTTCACCCATGAGACTTCTGGAATACAGAGTGCCCGTGTGCTGCGCCGGGGGAGGGGTGGAGGAGGCCTGTCCCGGGCGGGCCTCACACCCCAGCAGGCAGCAAAGCCCGCACAGTGCGGCGTGTGCTGCCGCCAACGCTGTGACGCTGTGGCCTGAGCGGCCCTGAGTCCCGGGGCCAAGGGGGAGACCTGAGCCCCGCAGCCGGAGCACGCCGCCCCCCCCCCCCCCCGGGCTTTGCTGCTCCACACGGCCTGCCTGGTGCCCCGATGGTTACGGCGTCCCCCCCCCCCCCCCCGCTGGTCAGGAAGCTGGTTGTCTCCAGCTCCATGGCCGTGGGGTCACTCCTAAGGCTTTGTCCTTCAAAGGCTTCAAGGTCACAAGGTCTCTCACAGGCCAAGCCAAGGAGCAGCTCCCAGCACCCCGGGACCTCACTTCCAGCCTTTCCCAGCAAGGGCCATGTGCCTGGGGTCCGCCCGGCCCCTGGCTGAGCCGCGCCGCCCGTGGGACCAGAGCATCTGTTCCCCAAACCTCCAAGAAACGAGCGTCTCTGGGAAGGAGGGAGAGGGAGGCTCATCCGCGGAGGATAGATGCGGGGACGTGGACATTACCAGCCGAGGAGATGCAGCCGGACCTCTGGCACCCCGCTTCCTGACCCCAGCCGCAGTGAGACCCGCCCGCTGAGGCCGCCCGCTCGGCCGCAGCCCCCTCCCCCTCCCACCTCGGCCAGGGCTCTGCCAGGCAGGGCCGGGGCTGGCCGGGGTGAGGACAGGACAAAGCCCCCAGCCCCATAGCGCGCATGCTGGAAGGGGGATGGGGGGGACAGTCCTGTCTCAGGGAAGCAGCACAAAGTGAAGAGGAGAGGAGGAGAGGCCGCGCCCGGCTGGCGGAAGGCATTTTTCCAAACACACAGCCACCAAAACCTATGATTCTGGCCTTGTTTGAACAGAGCCTTGCCAGATACAATGCAGCTAGGGTGAGGCCCTGCACCCGCCCTAAACCGCCAGGACCAGAAGAGGAAACTGAGCCTCCGGGGATGAGCGCAGGAGAGGTGCCCCCCATGGGAGGCCTGCCCCCTCCAGGGAGCTAGGGAGACTCTCCTCAACCCCTCTGAAGGAAGCAAGCCCAGCTTGGCCTGGCCCAGCCCAGCCCAGCCTTGCCCAGCCCAGCCCAGCCCTGCCCAGCCCAGCCCAGCCCAGCCCAGCCCAGCCCAGCCCTGCCCTGCCCAGCCCAGCCCTGCCCTGCCCTGCCCTGCCCAGCCCAGCCCAGCCCAGCCCAGCCCAGCCCAGCCCTGCCCTGCCCTGCCCAGCCCAGCCCAGCCCAGCCCTGCCCAGCCCAGCCCTGCCCTGCCCAGCCCGGCCCGGCCCAGCCCAGCCCTGCCCAGCCCTGCCCTGCCCGGCCCGGCCCAGCCCAGCCCAGCCCGGCCCGGCCCTGCCCAGCCCTGCCCTGCCCGGCCCAGCCCTGCCCTGCCCAGCCCAGCCCAGCCCAGCCCAGCCCGGCCCTGCCCGGCCCTGCCCAGCCCTGCCCGGCCCGGCCCTGCCCAGCCCAGCCCTGCCCAGCCCAGCCCTGCCCAGCCCAGCCCAGCCCGGCCCGGCCCGGCCCGGCCCAGCCCAGCCCTGCCCAGCCCAGCCCGGCCCAGCCCAGCCCAGCCCGGCCCGGCCCAGCCCTGCCCAGCCCAGCCCGGCCCAGCCCAGCCCAGCCCGGCCCGGCCCGGCCCAGCCCAGCCCTGCCCTGCCCAGCCCAGCCCAGCCCCCCACCCCTTCCCCCCCCCCCACCCCTCCTCGCCCCTCCCCGCCCCTGCCCCTCCCCCCCGCCCCTCCCCCCGCCCTTCCCCGCCCCTGCCCCTCCCCCCCAGCGCAGAGCACTGTTACCACAGACAGACAGAGTTCCAAGGCACCGTCCCTTAGAAAACAAATGCGAAGCATGTCATCACAGCGCCTGCGCCTGCGTAGACTGTGCGCCACAGTGCTGCCTGTTCTAGAACGTTCCACGGCGGCAGTGCTGGGGTGGAGTCTTCATTCTGGCCTCCCTCTCCTGCCCGGGGTTCTGTCCCTCCACATCGCTCAGCCGTGCGTTTCTCTGGGGACACGGGGACGGGGGGGGGGGGGAGGAGGGGTAGAGAGAGGAGGCGGACGCGGGAAGGGGGGGAAGGAGGCAGGACGCGGGAAGGGGGGGAAGGAGGCGGACGCGGGAAGGGGGGGAAGGAGGCGGACGCGGGAAGGGGGGAGGAGGGGGCACCCACACTGCCTCGTGCCCAGGGCTCTCCTCGGCCCACCCGGCCGCCGGCGTCCGCCGGGCTCGAGGTCTTCCCCGTGTCCGCGTGGGGCCGTTCCGGCCTGTGCTCACCCCACGGGACACTTCTCAACATCGGAGCCCGAAAACATGCAGAGCGAGATCGCGGTGTTTGACACACGCACTCCGCAGACGTGACTGACGAGGCCGTTTCCGTATTCTGTAACTGTTCCTTTGGCGGGCCCGTCGCTCACCCACAAAGCCCACACAGGCCGGAGACGCGGGGCCCTGCCCACCCGTGCCCCCAGCCCCCCTGTGGGACTTCCCCATGACCTCCCGCCACGACCCCGGAGTGTCTCTGGTGGGGGACCCTTGGCAAGGGCGATCGCACACTGTTGGTGGGGAACCACACGTGCACGGCGGTGTGGCCCACGCGTGCCCCCAGGGCCTTTGCACCTGCTCTGCCCTTCCGGCTGCCTCCTCCGAGTGGCATCTTGATCCATCCCCGGTCTGCCTGAGCGGCGGTGCTGGGCAACGTGGGCAGAAGCAGCGCCACCTGCAGCGTGAACCCCGGGGCTCCGCTTGGTTGGCTGGGGCCGCACTGCTACCCTTCCCCTTCGGTTCTGTGTCCCCCCCCCGACCCCCAATAACTTAATGCATCCGCTCCCTGGGTGTGCAAAGCACAGGCGAGAATCGGCAGAACTTAAACGGTGACGAGACCCCGAGCGAAGGTTCTCATTCACAGGGCGGGGTGGGGGGAGCCCCTGGGGGGGGCAGCGCTGTGGAGGGCGGGCTGGGCACATACCTGCCCGGGGGGGCAGCGCTGTGGAGGGCGGGCTGGGCACACACCTGCCCCAGAGAGAGGGGTGTCCAGAGGGGTCCCTGGCCGGAGGCCCGGATGGGCAGGGACCGGGGTTGGGGGCGGCCTGTGAGGAGCCGCCCCACGGCCATGGTGGAACCCGGCTGGCCCAGGGCCGTCCGTGGGGGGGTTGGCAGGGGGCCAGGTCCCACCGGCCATGACCACCAAGCCGGGACTGTGGCTGGAATCCCGCTCACCACGGCTCACGGAGAACTCCCGGAGTCCCAGACTCGAGACCACGAAACGGAGGCCTGAGGGGTGAGGGTCTTCCTCAGAGTCCCACGGAGAGCAGGGTGGGGTTGGACCCTGCGCCCACGGCCCTCCCATTACGGCCTCCACGGGTTGCAAACCCCGCCCCCCCCGTCCGTGTGGGGACCCTGCGTGCGGCTCTGACTCCCAGGGCCCTCCGGGGCGCCGCTCTGTGCCTCTCTGCGCCCTGGCTGGATCTGTTTCCTGGTGAGCCTCCTCTCCACCCCAGAGGAGGCCTGGGCCCCCGCATGGCTGCTCTCCTCTGCCAGGGGGATGCACGTGCAAAGGCCCTGAGGCAGGATCCCGTGCCACTGGCCTGACACAGTTCTGCGGCTCTCCCTGGCCACTAGGTTGACAGTGGCTTTACTCCCGTGGGTCCGGCCACGCTCGGGAGTGAGGTGCACCCTGAGTGGAGGGCCAGGTGGCGGGAAGCAGAGCCCTCCAGGGGAGTCCCACACACAGCCTTGGGCCCCTGGGGCGGGCGGGGCAGCTGTCCTGTCTGGGGCCTTGAGCAGGGTCGCCCTTCAGCCTGCTTCTGCACCATCAGAGGCCTTTGCGACCGCGGCAGCCTTGGTCTGGGTCCAGGACACAAGGCAGTGGCCAGGCAGACGGGAGCCGGGCGCGGCGGGGCCGGAGCTGGGCGTGCATGTCAGGAGAGTTGGGCAATGCCGGGCACGGAGCCTGGCCGGGCATGGGCATGGCGGGTCCTCCGGCCCCAGCCTCCACACCCCCAGCCTCTGCTTCCTGGGCCTGGTCCTCCTGGGCCTCCACCGGGAGCTTTGCCTTCCCCGTGGCAGACACTGGAACTCCCCCCTCCCTCCCCACCCCCTCCCTGTCCCACAAACCTCCGCTCCACCCACTCCCAGAGCAAGCCAACAGCCTGGGAAGCCCACTTAGTTCCTGCTCTGAGCTCACGCCTGCCTCCTGCGCATGTGTGTGCATG